TCTGGCTCTTTTGTTTGTTTGTTTTCCTGGTTGAGGGAGCGGCGGCAACGCATTTAATTTGATTAACACGAAGGATTGTTTGTCCACCGCCGCCGCCCCCCTAATCACTGGTCCCTACACTATTTCACATTCTCGGTTACGAGCAATTTTTCTTAGCTTATACTTGCTGCTGCTCCTGGTTTGTGTTTTATTTCCATTGTGGTGCATGGAGGGGGGGATAGTTCTTAAGATTAAAAATGGAGCGCGCATGCAGCCTATCAACAGGCAGAGGGATGTGGGGCGGGGGACTGTTAGCTGGCACTGTACCTGTCCACTGGCATCGGTGTAGATGACACAGGAGGCGTTAAGGGGTATTTTCTGATTTGCTATTCAACCATGATTATTATTCCATCATAAAGCCAGAGGACCGACCAAAAACATGCCCCAAAATCAAATGCACAAAATGCAATGACAAATATTTATAAATGGGGGGGAGGGTAAACACATACAAAAAATTCGAATATATGTATGTATGTATGTGTGTATATATGGTGATTGTGTGTGTGGTGTGTGTGCGAGAGAACAAAACACATTTTTAGTTTAAAGTTTCGATTTGGTTTCCCATGCAGCATTTCAATCGTATTTCAATCCAAAAAATCCGTGCGTATTTGTAGATATTCATAAATTAAATATATATCAATATTTTGATTCATGCAAAATAAAGTGAGAAAGTTTATTATATTTGTTTATATTTGGCGCATGTGTGTGTTAGCATGTAAATAAAGGTAGAAAAATGATTGGAAAATGAATAATTCTGTGTATAAAAATCCATTAAAGAAATGAAATTTAATTAATTATTTCTGTATTTTTTTGCAGTAATAAAATTCTTAAAATTAAGCTAAAGCCAAAGCTGCATTTGCGAAACAACAATCCGCTCAGCAACGGCGCGAGTAAACGCAATACTGTCTATAAGAAGTTAATCAATTCGGCTGCAACTTTTCTACATGGTATGTACCCAATTTTACGCATTTAAACACAAGGTAATATTCACATTATGGAAATAAGTCGCAGCATACCACCACCACCTGACCACACAACAAAGATAATTCTGGCGGTAATAATAATGTTTTCGGAGGCCACAGAAGGACACGAAATAATTAACGCAAATGTTTAAATGTAAATACGGACTTCCCCGACTCCTCAGCTACCATCCTTGGACTGTAATTAACTGGTTGCTGACGGAAAAGTTTGCATTCGGTTTACCGGGGTTTTGTTGTTCGCATATGCAAAGAGGCGGCAGATTGCACTTAAAACTATCGAGAATAAAAGTCAGTCCGTTGGGAGGGGGAGAGGCGGCTTAAAGCAGCAGGCAAATTACAGGCAAATTATAAAACAGTAGCATACTTTTTGGGGGGAGAATGGAAATAAAAGCCAGGGTTAACGTTAGGATCACGCTGCAAATAAAAATGTAATTAGAAAAACTGGAAAAAAATAACAATGAAGCAGAAGACTTAAGCCAGTGGCAAGCAGCAAAACTGAAAAAATTCTGAAATAAAAAACAAAGCATTAAAAGTATTTATAAATAAATGAAATTCACATTCGACAGCCAGCAGCATTTCGAAGCGCATTTAAAACTGTGTTACTGCGCGGCAGCATAAAGCACTGTAAATGAGAGGAAAAAAAGCCAAAAGTCTGTTGGGATTTTATCAAGCATTAAGAGCGGGGCGGGGCAGCACTCGGGGCGTGGGCGGGGGTGGGGGTGGGGGGGGAGAGAGAGAGAAATTACACGCAGAAACAAATGCAAATACTTACTAAATAGTACAATACAAACAAGCCTGCAAAATTCAATCAAATATGATAGATAGATAGAAAGATAGATACTTATATCGATCGAAAGATAGATAGATATGGTAGGAAAATAGAAAAACTTTGATAAACTCTTCGTTGGGGGGAGGTTTACCACTTTGCCTTGGTTGCTTGTACGTGTGTGTGTGTGTGTGGGTTTATGTGTGTGTGAATGTGTGTGTATTTTTATATATTTATTCTTGATCTTCCAGCACGGGCATAGGTTGAAGCAGTAGTCTATACGATATATTAGATGTTGGTCGTTCTCAAGCATTTCTCGCACGTGACTTTTCCACAAAGCAAAACTTCAACCTAGAAAGCACTTTTCGCACTACAAAAAGTATCTAAATATGTGTGTATTATGTGTGTGTGTGTGTGTATGTGCGTGTTATTATCTTCTTTATATTCAGCAAACATATTACATTTTATTGGATCTTTTTTTTCTCATCCTGCTGTTACGAAAAAAAGAAAGAAATAATCAGTTTTAAAAGAAACAACAACAGAAAAAAAAAGAGCAGTAAAGAGGAATCATGTTAATAACATTTTTCTTAAACGAGTATATGTGTGTGTGTGTCGGTTGGAGGGGCGTTGGAGCTAAGGAGGATGCTCCTTAGCCACCGGCCGATCGAAGCTGTTAAACGACAAACGAGAATCTACGAAAAACAAAAGATTATTAGACATACTTGGCATCTATGTATATATGATTGTATGTATATATAGCGGAACGAATATATATATTTATCGTTATAATTAAGCTCGTTTATCAGGGAGAAGGGGGGTTTGGGGCAGGTGCACCAGCTTACCTTAGGAGTGCGCTTACCATACCACATGCCACTTGAGAAGCCATACTCGAGTTATATTGTATATACTTATGTGTGTGAGCAAAACGGAATGTATAAGTACATATTTATCGATCTCCCCTCGAGTGGGTGAGAGCGAGGCAGAGAGCGAGAGCGAGCGAGACAGAGAGAGAGATACGTATATATAGAGGATGAAAAGATACAGCCACATCATACTCATGTTCAAATCGGAAGAATACTTGCTACAAAAATGTTCTGGTTTTCATTGAGCACATGCTGAAACAAATTACACAAAAACTTTACGCTCCAAACGGAAAAAGTCACAATAAAACGAAAGAAAATATTTAGGAAAAAAAATACACGCAAGAAAATCAATCTAAACTCATAAATAAATGAAATACATTTAAATGTCGAACCGGAACGTACTTCTCCCCACGCAAAACATCCGCCCAGCGATCGACAGCAGAAAGAGAAAGGGGAATAATGTGAAGGATAGTGACAGAATTACTACTGTACTTTGAACTTTTGCAATGAGGCCAGAGAAAAAGCTTCGAGGGAAACATTCAGATCTGAGTGATCTTTGGGAATATTTGAAATCGTTGGGAATATTTGAGATCTTTGTAGAACTTGGAAACATTCAAGAGAGAGAAAGATGAAATTGGGGAGATTGCCCTGCACTACTAGTCTGCGCTAGTCTCAAAACATAAGTACTTATGTATGTACGTACTATATATATATATATAAATATATTTTATTTCCGCACATCCCACATCGGACATTGTGGATGAAAAAATAAAGCAATAAGCATTTTTCATTCAGGATTCTTTCGCTATTTGTGTGGATGTAGTCTCGCTGCTCTCTTGAGTGAGAGCAACTCGTTCATAAGGCATGAAATACAGAAAGGGGATTTAATGATTCCAGGCTAGGCTGGGCAGTCTGGCAGCTGCTGGGGCCAGTCTAATGTTTTATATTCTTCCTTGCCAAATTATTCCTGGCATGTTCATTTAGAACTAGGCTCAAACTCTAATATAAATTCAGTTTTTTGAGTGCATTATTCATCCATGCAGGCAAAAATATTTTATGTGTCCTTGAAGATAGTTGGAAACTAAAATCAGAGTACTTAATATGTTGGCAGAAATGATAAATGATTCGAAGCATTTTCTTTGAAAACATTACAAAAAGCGCTTAACTCTAGAGAGTAACTGGTTTATATTGATTTTTATTTAAGCAATACAGTAATATTTCCCTGGCAAAAGGTGTCTGTGTGTGTGTGGGTTTGCTGGGAGTAGTTCTACCAAAAGGATAAAAGTGGGTGGGTGTTTCTTTCGGGTGTGTGGTGGCAAGTGGTGTGTGAGGGTAATCAAAAGATATATTTTTTTTTGTCGAGCAGAGCGGCACACATTGAGAGCTATAACGGCTGCACTGAGGATTGTTACAAAAAAAAAAAAAACTAAAGAGAGAAGCGTAAGAAAAATTACAAGTATTTTAGGCGGCTTCACACGTGAGCAAAATGAGTAATACCAACTTATGATTAAATAATATTAATAAAAATCGATAATAATATTTTTAAACAGCCAACAAATAGAGTACAAGAGAGAGAGAGAGAGAGAGCGAGAGACAACACACAGCAAACTGTTTTTTTTATGTATTAGTAGTGGGGTGAGAGAGAGATAGAGAGAGAGAGACAGAGAATGTTAGTTTCGGTTTTTGATCACTTTCCAGGGTACAAGGTTCGAGGTTCGATGTTCGAGTAAAATAAGCCAACAAGTTGTTTTTACGGTTTTTACAATAAAACGTATATAATATAATTTCAATATAATTTGTTTTTGTTTTTGTTTTTTTTTTATCTTTTATAATCGTACGACTAATGTTAGCACATACATATAACATATATTCATAGGTGTTTGTGTGTGTTTCTTGCTTGTGTGTTGTTTATGTGTGTGTGGTAGGCGTGTGTATACATTATATATGTATGCATGTATGGTTATATATTAAATGAATTTAATTTGATCAATAAACATCCTCTTCTTCTTTTTCTTCTTCTTATGCAACATGCATTCTGCCATACTTTTTCTTTTAGCTCTCTTTGCTTTTGTGGTCGATGATGAAAGCAAAAATTATTCTAAACCTTATATTGTTTCTCACAGTGTAAGTGTCTGTATGTGTGTGTGTGTGTGCTTCTTCTCTGCTACAAATGAAAAATAGAGAGTGCGCCAATAAACTACATTTTTGGACGGTACTGTACTTCTGTCTATTGAGACAAAACAAGAACTCTAAAAAATAAGGCTCTAAATATGGATCCTTACAAAAGTTGTTTCCTGTTTTTGAAATTCAGCAAAAAGGCAATCTTATCCCTAATATTCGTTGCTATATTGCTATACATTTATTGTATTATTCAATCCAAATGTTAACGGCTGTTCTAAATATTGTAATTTGAAGCAGTTTTTGTGTGTATTTGTTTTATTTTGGGTGCTTAAGCGGAGTAAAATATGTAGAGGTATATATGAGTTCTTATGTAGATTCTAGAATGCAAGTTAGTTTTTTTTTAATTTTTTTTTATATATATCTTTTGCGTCATGCAGTGGAGATTGTGTTCTTGCTGTTAGTTTTCATCTTTTTGCTGTTGTTATTTGGGATTTATGTTTGAGACAGAGCGATTTTCTAGACACTTTTGCGCAGTTCTCAGTTTTGTTAACGAAAAAAAAGAGGGTGTAACCATACAACACACATAAATGTATATAATGTTATCAGAGTTTTAGGCAAGACATATAGAGGATATAAGACATACATAGATATAGATACTTTTATTGGTTCTAATTATTAATGGTTTTCGATACTGTCTCGCTGCATGTTAAAGCATCTTTCTTATCAAGTATAAATGTATATATCCAAGTATAGATAGAATAAGCCAAGCAATTAGCTGGCCCATTGGTCATACATTCAGATACTGATAATATATATATGTACGATATATTGTTCAGAGGTTTACAACTATTATAGATATAGATCTCTACCGTTAGCGTACTCATTTTGCTTTGCCATTGCCATTATACTAAGAGCTAAAACATATACAGGATGTCAGAGGATGGTGAAAAAGTACGAGTGGCGGGTGGGGCGGGTGGAGTTCTTCAAGCTCTAGAGGGCGTGTATAAGAGTGCTGGCTCTGCCGTTAAGCGCAAGTGTGTGGAAATGCTTTGTGTTTTGTGTATTGTGTGTATTTGTGGGGGCGGGTGTTCCGGATATATCATAGTATTTAAAGGGTAGAATGAATGAGGAAAGCGGCACAACAGAAAACTAAATAAAATCGAATAAAAAGTAAAATACCAACACACAGAATATAGGATATATATTTTTGTTTTTGTTTGATGTAAACTATATTTAGATAAAAACACGATATTTCAAATAAAACATTAATAAAAACTATCGAAACTATAAATTAGAATTAGAATTAGGATAAGAATTAGTGGCAAAAAAAAACACATCAAAATCTGTTGTTTTAACGACATTAGAAGTACTTCAATTAAGAACAATTTTACATAGAGAGATTATAGTAAGTATGTATATATCATATCATAATGTAAGGATGTTTTTTTTTTGTTTGTCTCAAAATGTAGGGGATGGGCTGTGGGATGCTGTGTGGGGGACATGTGGATTTAAGACTTAGGAGTGTGCGCGCAAGTCAGTGGCAAAATTTATTATTTGTTTTTTTCTTAATAAATTATATATGTAATAACTACATTAAAAAATGGTTTCTTTTACATAAAATATATATAATATATATATAAATAAAACATAAACATTACATAGAAGAGAGTGAAAAGAACTGATAATCACACACGAGAGATCTAACATTAAAAACTTAATTCTGTTTGCCAATGATTTTATTCTCTTTTGTTATTTTTTGTTTGTTTTTTTTTACATTTGATTACAGAAAGAAACAAAAACATATAGAATACATTGAAGATAGCAATAAAGTGTGTGTGTGTTGTGAGTGTGTGGGAGAGGGATTAAAAGACAGAGATGATGATCGAAACGAAAACAAAAGTTTTACATAGTTCTCTGCGGGTATAAATCTTTGACAAACATAATGTTAATTTTTATGAATTAATTAATTTTGAAGGGTGGCTTAACAGGTGTCAGAGTGTATGTGTGTGTTAGAGAGTGACTTCTGGTGATTAGTAAGGCTATAGATATACGATTTACAGATCGTTCTTTCTTCTTTTTAAAAGAGTGTGTGTGTGTATGCGTAGTTGTGTGGTGAATGAGCGTGTGTGTGGGTAAGAAGAGTACAGAGTGTGTGGGGGGGTGTGTGTGTATATATATATATATATATATATATATAGTAGATAGTAGCAGCATACAGCTATGATGTATGTATGTATATCGTATAAGTAGTATTCTATATAACTAGACAATATTCCGTTACGTTATGCACAATTTTCTTTCGTTGCTCAACAATTTAATTTAAACAATTACAACAGCATTCACGATATTTATGGCCGCTATCTATGTAGGTAAACATTTAAGGATAGACAGCGATAGCGGGCGAGAGAGAGAGAGAGAGAGGAGAAACGCGCTCCTTCTGAGAGCAGAAGTAAAGAGAATGATGGATGGGTGAAAAGCAATAGAACGGGAACGTGGCTGCATTTATGGGTGTGCGACTGCAACAGCAACAGTAACAGTAGCAGCAGCAGTGGGATCGATCTGAGAGCGAGAGAGCACATTAAGAGAGAGCGCAGGCAGTCGTGGGATGGATGGCATTTCTTATTTCTCTGAATCAGCTGTGTGTGTGGGAGAGGGGTTATGTTTGTGTGTGTGCTATCACATTACTTTTCCCATTGCCTTTACCAAACCCCCCCCCTATTCGTATCTTCTTTTGTTTTTGTTTTTTTCTGTTTAGTGTTTGACTAATTGCTAACCAGAGAAGGAACTTAAGTAAAAATCTATCATCTAACATAACATTTGTTTCTCTTTCCCTTTCTTATTTCGTGGTTGCTTTTTAAAAGCTTCTTCTCCTTCGTCTTCTTCGTTTCATTGCATCTTGAGAATAATGGCAACACCTTAAGTCCACATTGAGGTTTGTATTTCGTTTCGTTAATAACTTAATGGCAAAAGAGTTTTTGTTTTTGTTTTTCTTTTCGTTTCGTTGCAAGCTGCGCGGCATTTGTGTTAGTAAGGCTTTTCTTTTCTTTTGTGTGGGGCATGCGAATGCGCGCATGTGTTAGTGGGGTGTGGGTGGGGAAAAGCTTTTGCAAAGCCTTCTTTTATCGTATGTCATGTGTGGCATGGATGCTCTCTATCGCTACGTTGATGGGGGGTGGTGGAGGGCTAAAAACTAAAGTCTAATCGTTCTAATTCTGAGGCACATATTTCTTACGTCTTCGATGTTTGTTGTTGTTTCCTCAACGGGAGAGCTTTTAAGTACAGTTGTGTCTTGTGTAAAAGGGGCTGGGAGGGTGGTCCCCTTTTTAGGATGTCTTCATCTTCTTATAGGGATTCAGACCTTGGGCTCCTCCCCCCTGGGCGGCAGCAGCGGCGGCAGCTGCTGCTGCTGCTGCATATTGCTGTGCCGCTGCCGCCTGACTCGAGGGCATGGCATAGGCAGCATATCCGGCGGCGGCTGCAGCCGGTCCGGACATTACTCCCGGATAGAAGTAGCCTTGGGCGCCGGCATATTGCATTGGCGAGGGTGCACGCAACAGGGCGCCAGAGGCGGCACCAGCTGCAGACAAGTACTGCGGTGCCTGGGCACCGCCGGCGGATGCCGACCGGAGGGGCGTGCCAGGCGCCATGGGTGTGGACATGCCCGAATTGGGCAGGGATCCCATCTGCCGCATCTGCGCCTGGGCATGAGCCTGGGCCTGAGCTTGTGCTTGTGCTTGTGCCTGCATCTGCAGGAGGGTGGCCATTGAGACGGCCTGTGGCTGTGGCGCCTGAACGGGCTGCGGTGCAGCTGCAGCGGCCACATATCCCTTGTTGAGGGTCATGCCTGTGTAGGCGGCCGCCGAATGGGCACCCGGCTTGGCCGCCGCGGATGCAGCACTGGCCACCTTGAGGGCATAGTTCTTTTGGGCCACCTCCTTGGCCAGGGCAGCGGGATCGGCATAGTAGCCGCCAGCCGCTGCCGTTGGCTGTGACGTGAGTCCAGCGGCGGCCGCATATGCGGCATATGCCTGCTGCGCATAGGCGGCTTGTGCCTGAGCCTGGGCATGGGCATGGGCTTGGGCTTGAGCTTGGGCCTGTGCCTGCTGTTGCTGCTGTTGGGCTTGTTGCTGCTGTTGCTGCTGCTGCATTTGGGCCTGGACATAGGAGGGGGTGTTGCCTGCCATGCTCACGATGGAGGAGGTGCCGCTGTTGTAGGGGGAGTACAGATTGGCATAGCTATAGGCGGGCATCGAATAGTTCATGCGCTGCAAACTGGCCTGGGCCTGGGCTTGAGCTTGGGCCTGTGCTTGGGCTTGCGCCTGAGCCTGGGACTGATACGTCACTGTGGGGGCGCTGCTGGTGGGTGTGGGCAGTATCCCAGTGCTGTGGCCATTCATGGAGTATGTGGCATTGCTGGCCCTCTGATAGGCATCGCCATTATGTTTGCTATAGCTACGAGGAGCCGAGGTCAGGGATGCTCCTGCTGTTGCTGCTGCTGCTGCTGCAACGGATGATGGGGCAATGTCTGCTTCGCCATTGAGGGGCTCTTCTGGTGGGCTGGCGGACTTGATCCGTTGCCCGTTGGTTAAATTGTTATTGATATAGGACAAGTAATTGTTATTGTCGCTACTGGTTGGCAGGGGCAGGGGCAGGGGCAGAAGGCTACTACTGTCAGTGGTTGGCGATGGACAGGGGGCGGGTGAGCTGCCATTGGATGATGATGTTGCTACTGCTACTGACGCTGCTGCTGCTGCTGTTGCAGGTGCCGACGATGCCTGTGTCTCCTGTGTGTCTATGTCTGTGTCTGTGGCAGCTGCTACTGCTTCTGTTGTGAGTGCATTTGTTTGTGTTGTATTACAATCAATAGCGGGACTTGAATTTGGATTCACTGTATTGGTGTGATCGTCACTGTCTTGTGGATTATCATTCTCTTTATCATCAGCAGCATTATCATCATCATCATTATCATTATCAACTTTATCGTTATCGTTATCGTTATGGTTATCGCTGTTATCGTGACTATCGTCACTGTGATTATTAGTAGGATCTGCTGCAGCTGCAGCTGCTGATGCTGCTGCTGTTGCTGATTGATCGATTGATGTGGTTGATGTGGATGATGGATTGATAGCAGTAGCAATTACAGCATTTACGTGAATGGTATTATTACTGTTATTATTATTATTAATATTATTATTACTGGCTGTTGTTGCTGTTGTAGTTGTTGTTGTTATGGCGCTACTTAACGCTAATTGTTGTTGTTGTAGTTGTTGTTGTAGTACTAGTACTTGTTGTTGTTGTTGTGGTTGTTGTTGTTGATGTTGTTGTTGTTGTAGTTGTTGTTGTTGTTGTTGGGGATACTCACATGAGACTGGAACATAGGGCTGCATTAGCTGCTGATACGTAGTCGCACCGGGTTGATAAACTGGAATGCCAGACTTCTCTCCAGCTGGACGTTTGAACGGTACCATTCCAGAGAATTGCTAACAGAGAGAGAGAGCGAGCGAGAAAATGAAGCAGAGAGAGAGAGGGAGAGAGAGATGCAAATAGATAAATTAGTTTTTTTTTTGCTTATAATAAGTGGCTTTAACTTAGTCTCTACATCTAACCGTAGACACACTATAACATTATAAAATGCTTAAAAACGAGCTTGATTTTTGGGATTTGTTTTAATTTAGATGTTTTTCTTTTTTCTTTTCTGCTTACTACTACGATTCTTTTGTGTGTGTTTCTATTGCCAATTTTCAATCGTAAACGAGAGGGAGAGAGACAGAAATTATACGACAACAAAATAAAGATACATACACTCTATATATATTTTTGAAGAAACGAAAACAAAACGAAAAATACAAATAATGAATGAAAGCGAATTCTAAGCAAATTTCCGTGCATTTCAGTGATTGCGATTGGTGGGTGGGTGAGGGCGGAAAAGCTATATTTCAGTGAAGAAAAAGGCTTTCCCGATGATCTGTTTAGCTTGAACTGAAAATTGTCTCCAATTCATTTAAGGCTCTTTTTTCTTTTTATTTGTTTACTAAATTATATCTTTTATATACTTAGTTTTGCATTCAAAAGTTGCTCATTTTATGTATTGATGGATATAGTATTGCTCAGATATATTTTATATAGTGTATATAAAATATTATAGTTGATCGTTTTGTGATTTAGGTTTTTTGTTGGAGTACTTACGAAGTTTTCATAGTAAAATGAACCAACCGTTTTAACATCCATCTTTTTGTGGCATTTATCGGATTGGTTTTGGTTTTGGTTGATTATTCAGTTAGTGAATGATATTTTGATTTGTTGTTGTTGTTGTAGTTGTTGGGGTTATAACGGAATTTGTTGATTGGTTGGTTGATTGATGTGGTTGATCAGAGGGTTAGGCGCGCGCACACACACATTGATTGCAGATTGATTGCAGATTGATTGAAAGAGAGAGAGGAAGAGAGAATAGAGAGAGAATAATCGAACGGAAGAGTGTGTGTGTGTGTGTGTTTATGTGTGGAGAATCGTGGAAGAGCAAAATGAAGAGGGTGGGTGGGAGAGAGAGAGAGAGAGAAGAACACAAATGAAATTAGTGGATATATCCTCTGCACAGTTCAATCAATTATATTCATAGACAATACAGTTACATATACATATAAATATATATACTTAGTCCTAAATAGTGTGCGTGTGTACGTGTGTATATGTGTGTTTGTATGGGTGTGGTATGATATGGCGAAAGGATAAACAAGAATATGTATGTATGTGCTCGCGGTAAATGCATGTTGCAACTAATTAACCAGGAAAAGCACTTAAACAATTAAGCACAACCAACGGCAGCAGCTCAGCTCAGAGGCTGAAGCGATAGCTGGTGGCAGTGGCAGTTGCAGTGGCAAGAGGCAGAAGGAAAAGCCGAAAGAAAGAAGAGCTACAGCCTTGGCGCAATTATCGGTTAAATCATTTCAATTAACACTTTTCGCCAGGTGGAATGAATGCATTGCTTGTGTGTGTCTGTATGTGTGTGCTGCGTGATTGTGATTTATCATACGCCATGATGTGCCGCTTGCTAATTGGTGAAACGTAAAGGTATCCTTCGCCAGCTGGAATGTGCAGCAATGAATGCTGGGTGGCTGTCTGTCTGTTCGTCTGTCTGTCTATCTGTATCCTGATTAGTGTGAGTGCTTGAGTGTGTTAGTGTATTTGCGCTTTTGATGTATCAGATAATGAATTCATTCCGTAAATGAAATGCTGGCGGATTGTGGCTCTCTGTGCGAGAATGCTGATAATAAACGCTAATTGAGGGCACTTTGATGTGCAGCTGAAGGACTGAATAAATGACTCAATGAATGAATGAATGAATGTGTAGTGTTTTGTGGTTAGCGGTGATGGTTTGGAAGCGTGTCATGACGACGGGTGGGGGGATATGTGTGGATAAGTAGTCTGAATCGTATCAATGCATCAATCGGATGTTAAACGGAAGGTTCATCAATAACAGATCATTATTATGGTGGGGGGGGGAAGAAAGTTGGGATGTGGCTGGAATGTACCTTAAAAAATCTTTAGCTTAAATGAAATATTCTTCACCCGCCTAAAAGCATGCAACGCAAATTGGAAACTATTTCAACAATCAACCAAAAATAAATGGCATTAAACAATTCAAGAGAAAAATCAAATGAAAACGAAACGAAACGAAAATCAACCACAAAATGTAAAAACGGAAATCGGAAAACAAAAACAAAAAAACAAAAACGGAAACACAAAGTGAACAAAAAGGAAAAGAAAAATACCAGTGGAAACAGATCAGTGTCCGCTGCCCGCTTCTTGCCCACTTCCAGTGCTGCTGTATGGTGATGGCCCATGACGGCGGCGGCGGCAGCAGCGGCGGCGGCAGCAGCGGCAGCGGCGGCGGCAGCGTTGTTTGTGGTTGTTGTTGTTGTTGATGTGGTTGCTGCACTGCAGTTGTTGTTGTTGTTGTTGTTGATGTTGTTCAGCTGTTGCTGCAACTGCTGTTGTTGTTGTTGCTGTTGTAGTTGTTGCTGGTGGTGATGGTGGTGTGCTTGGTGGTGGTGTGCCGTAACAGGTGAGGTCTGTGTGTGTGTGTTTGTCCATGTGTGTATGTGTGTGTTTTGTTGTTGTTTTTTTGTTTTGTTTTCGTATTTGTGCAAAATGATTTTATGTGCATTAAGATTTTCCCGAGAGATTCCAAATTCCATTGTGAATTATATATGGAGCCGTATATATGTATGTATGGGGGTGTCGTCACAATTTAATTATTTTTTTTTTTTATTTCATTTGTTTGTTTTCCATATGTTTTCCATTTCCCATCAATTATTTAATTGTGTGTCCAATTTCAGTTTAAATTTTTTTCAGTTTTTTCAATTATGTTTTTTGTTTTGCGTTTATTTCGAGTGTTGTTTCGTGCGGTTTGTGTGTTTGCGTGGTTGTGTGTGTACCATCCATCGTTGAAGCGTTTACAGTATGTGTGGGTGTGTGTGTTGTGTTTGTTGTGTATTTGTATTTGTGCGTTTTTTTGTTTTGTGCAAACAGATGAAAAATACATAATAGTAGAAGAGTACGGAAAAGTGTTTTGATATTCGGATAAGTAAAATAATAGAAACAAATCAAACGTTTTTTTTTTTTTTTAGATATATTCGGTAGGATAATATGGCAGTATATTATTCATGGATAAATCAAGCAGAAATCAACTGTAATTCCCAAAATAAATAAACGTGATTTCCGCTTGAATATCGTTTCGACCTTAAATAAAACTAAATGCTTTTTTTTTTTTTGGCCAAAATGTCATTGAAATTTAAATGGTGGAAATCGTAACACAAATTAGTTTCGTGTGAGTGATAAGCGAGTGGTTGTTAGAAATTTGATATTTGATAAAAAAAGAAGCCTTGCAAAGCCGGCAATAACCGCGATAGATATATAGATAGTGATATATAGAGATAGAGTTAGAGGTAGAGAGAGAGAGAGAGCATTCTTTCTATCTTAAACTCTAGATCTTAACTTAGAACTAACTTAGATGCTAAAACTTGGAAACGCAACAAAATCGCATTCGTTTTTTTTTTTTATCGCAATCCAACAATCGATTTGACTTTTGACACACACTCGTAGATACCGTTTTTTTTTTTTTTTGTTTTTTTTTTGTTTTTGAGATCGGTACACAAACGGTACAGATGGCAAGCTGCGCCAATCAAACTGTATGATCAAAAACTGATTATGCAGCGCTACTCCGTGCAACGCTCTGTGGGATATTTCATTTACCTACCGATGCATCGTTGCTGTTGCACATTCACAGAAAATATACATAAAACAAGGAGAAAGCGATGACCTGATTTCCACCCCGACTTTAAGTTCAGTGTTTAAGCCATGGGAGAGGCCATAAATTTTGGTGTAGAGCTCAATGCTAATGCGTTTAACACCGCAATTTGGGCTATCCAACCCCCGCACATGTGTGTGTGTGCGTGTGTCTAATAACTAAGGCCCAAAAAAAAAAAACAAAAAAATAAATGAAAATAAAAGGGTAAAAAACCTTAGCATACATTTGGGAGGGAGTATACAAGAGGCAGGAAGTGCACAAAATTTGCATTTAAATGGACTAGCACTCAGAGGAAAATAGGGAGAGAGAGAGAGAGAGAGAGAGAGCTGTATAGAGAGAGTGACAGAGAAGGACATGGAAGTTGCTTCCCTTTTTTTTTTTTTCTTATGTTGTGCTGTGGCTGCTGCTGCTGCCGTGTCACTGGCAATGAATGCTACAAATGGATTAATTCGCTTGAGCGCGACAACTTCGGTGGGGTACAAGTACGTATGTACATACATATGTATATGTGTACATGTTTGTGGGTGTGAGTGTGTATGTGCGTGTGGAGTGTATCTGTGTGCTTGGGATATTGGGGTCGAGTCTATAAAAAACGCAGCCGACAGGCCGCCTCTGTGTTCAGTTACGGCATCAGACCGGCATCTCTGCTGGACAATTCATTGGCATGGAAATCTCTGCTTTTAGTTAATTTTCCGGTTCAAACGTTATCCTGCCCGACTAATCCATGTCGTTCGTGTCCATGTCCATGTCCTGTGTCTTGTGTCCTGTGTGAATGGTGGGGGCCACAGTACAGGTTGACATTTACATTTTTGGACACTGCCAAAGGAAAAAAAAAAAAAAAACGTTCTGGCACAGCGGGCGGCTGTTTCCACAGTTTTTCCCTCTTTTGCTTTCCTTCTTTTCGAGAGGAGGGATGCTCGTGTCACGCTTACATGTCAGGCTTATAGTAGTTCATTCCACGCGGCAGGTGGCACACATATCGTGGGGCAGGCGATTGACATATGGGCGACCCCGAATATGCCAAACAACAACAATCATAATAAAGAAAACTTGAGCGCTCTTCAACGTAGGGAAAATCATAAATACGGAATAAAGTTTCATGTGTTGGTGTTGTTCCTTGTTTCGGGGTCTGTTTTTGTGGGATTGAGTATGGGATACATATAGATAGATATATATATATATATATACATGGATATAGTAAAGGCTGAATGAGTGGATAACAACATTGAATTGATTCACTTTTGTCATGCATTGAATATCCCTAATAATATTAGCCTATAAAGTTATATATTATTATACATTTGCTAAACTAAGAGAGAGAAATTAACTATAAGAGAGTATTGAATAAATGAAGGATATAATTCATATGAAACAGCAGCGCTGCATCGGTCGTTATCTATTCATCAACTTTAACAGACTTATATATATGGTTATGATTCCCTTCTAATTCTCACATTATTTTTATCATTTCTATTCACTTAAGATACATTTTTTGTTTGTTTTGATTTTGTTGGGTTTTCATGATGTCTAGCGGGGTAGGATCTAGGGGCAAAGCTATAGTATTTGTTGGGTAATAAGGTTGTAGGAACAGCAAGCTACACTAAAGCATGTAACATCACAAACGACTGAAGGGAGAATATCAAAATAATCCATTTAAAACAACAACAACAACAAAATTGATGTGAAAAGTGGTGGGGGAAACGGTGCAACAAGGTAAGCGTTTAATTTCTTTCATTTTTCAGGGCCATAATCGCATTAAACGGCGACGACCCATAAATACAATTATGGGTGTATGCTCTCTACAGTGTGTGCGTGTGTGAGTGTGTGTGTGTGTGTCAAAGGACAATTTTTATGCAATAATCACGTCTGTCGGGGTTGGCTTGCTTCCGGAAAAGCGTCGATTGAATTACGCCTAAAATGCTGCAACAATTTTTCACTTTATGCGATATTATGCTGCAATTATGTGTGCCATGCCCTGCCATCTACCAGCAGAGTTTCCCTGCATCCCTGGATCCCTGTTTCATGCGACAACATTGTCGTAGTTGTTGTTGTTGTTTGTAGCGTCAAATAAATTTTCAGCAGAAAGCAATTAAGTCGCGAATTAAGTACGATGGCAATGGCAGCCAGGACACGGACACGGACACAGACACGTTTACGGATACGGATACCATGGTCCTGATGCTGGTCCTGGTCCTGGCTCTGGCACACACACGTGGCAATCACGTACGTGCAAACATGTATGTGTGTGCCTTTCCTGCCTCTTCCCTATGGCACACTCACGCTCTCCCTCTCTACCGCTCTCCGGGTGAATGGCTGCGTGCTCAAAGTTTTAACGCGTTATAATAAATGTTAATTTTTGGCCCGAACGAAAATCAACATTTATGGCGTGTTTTATGCGAGCCTCAACATATTTTCCATGTTGCTCTTGCGTCCTGCCTTCTGCCTCTTCCAGTGGGGGAGGCCCCACTCCAGTGTTGGGATTATATTCCGCTTTCCACCTTTATTTTTGTTTCGTGTGCTTGTGTGTGTTGGTTTCGCTCCGAAATTATAATTTATCAGCATTTAATTATTTATTACTCGACAAACAAAAGGAATATCTAGCTTCGTGCCGGAGGAGGGGTGGGCACTGGGCAAGCGGCGCTTAGAATATATAAAACTCTCACATTTCAGCCTACATTTGACGATGATGTCATACAATGAACCATTATTCGGTGTGAAACCATTTCATTTGACTTGCATAAATATCCATTAAATTTGGCCAAATGATTTTTCAATTAGCCATTAAATTTTACGACCAAAATTGTAATTATAAGCCCGCCATTACGACTGTCGAATGCTCTTTAGAGATGGATAATATTATAGCCTGAACCTGGTTTATTATTATTTATAATCCAATTCTCTGATTTACGAAATGGAGCTCTGCCGAAGTACACAGCACACAGAAGTACATCGTACTCCAGTTAATTTGTTCACTTTTTTTCTGCCAGTGAGAGTATGAGAGCAATACAAATAGATGTCATATAAAATGCAAAAACATTTTTGCAATATTTCTTGTGACGAATTTTGATATTTTTGTGTGTAAGTGATAGACCCTCAGTGGCTTCGTCATGTGCGATGTTTGTCTGGTCACTCAATCGCAGAAACCAAAACCAAAGTAAATTGCAAAAACATTTTTGCAAAGTTTGCTTTTGCCGTTTCTTTCGCTTTCGAGTGGTGCATCAGAGAATAGTCCCCTAAGGTAATATATTTGTCTGTATTTTATATGAGAACTAATTCCTAAATAATTAAAATAGTTGCTGCCTAATTTCATTCTTTTGTGGATCCAAACACACAAATAATTCCAATGAATATACTGATAGATTTATTATCATAGTTGGCTATCTGTTATAGTTTCAACGCATTGTTTTATATTGTGTTTTCATATTTCATATTAATATTCATATTGCCACTGGCGATGACTCTCTCTCTCATTGAATATGCAACACAAATGGAATAATCTCTATTTTCTACATATATATGTTTGTTTGTAGGGACATACATATATTTATTTATATATCTTTTGTTTTTATTTGCTCTTTGGTTTAGTAACAGTTATTTATCGAGGGACAGAATTAATATGTGTGTTTTTATTTTTTCGGGACTGTGTTGTTGGGGGGTTCGTTTGCATAAAGTTAATTAAATTGTTTGCATGCAGCGTGAAGTTATAATTAAATTTGCTTTAAATTACGAAGGGATTTTGTACCCCCCTGCATACAAATTGTTAACAATTTGACTGAAAGTTAAGGCAAATTCAATCAACTATTTTCTAATTAGCGGACTGCCTAAGGCAGTCGTCGGCAAACGGAAAATGTGGAGAGTATACTACATACATACATATATAGAGGGTATATTTTTGGTAGGGATTTAAATATTGTATATATGTATATATAGATGTATAGATGTATCTATGGCATACTTTGTGGCGTGTGTTAGTGCAGGAGTAAAGTTGTGTGTTGTTGTATATCTCTGTTTGAAGTTATTTTGGAAAAACAGAAACGGAATCAGCGCTAGTGAAAAGGCAGCAAACATTTTCAACGGAAAACAAAACAAAAAAAAATCGAAATAAGAAAAAAGGCAAAAACGTTAGGCGGCTTAAACGAAAAGGAGAAATATAAACAAAAACACACAAAAGGTTATAAATACACAAACGAAATGTGTTGGTAAAGGGGGGTGGTAAACGGTAAACGGAAAAGAAGAAAAAGAAGGTTGGAGGGGGAAAAAAGTATTGAGAAAATATATAGTATATAGCCATACCGCAGCTGCAGCAGCGACAGCGGTGGCGCGTGTTTGGGCCGCTTTTAATTGTGCCTGTAGGTGCAGGGGGGGATGAAAGTAGCGGCAGGGATCACGGGCACACCGTCCCTTCACAGCGTCCATGCATACCGTGATGGAGCCATCGTCATGGCGTGCGACACTCTCCTGCGGGTGTGCGAACCGGCATTCGGACTCCGCCCGCTTGCAGGCGCCGCGCAGGAACTCGCGACACACCTACACACACACACACACGCACGCACGCACACGCATTGAGATTGTTGATTGTTGATATTCGTCATTGATCGAGCATCGAGCATCGTGTTTGATCATTCGATACGTAGTTCAAAGTTGCAGTAAAGTTGATTGCAGATTGGTTGGTTGGTTGGTTGGTTGGTTGGTTTGTTGGTTGGTTGGTTGGTTGCGGGCGTTGGCAGCGGATAGCAAAAGTGGCAGCAGTTGTGGTTGGTTTCAGAGTGGTGTGGTGTTTCGGTTGGTGGTGTGGAGTGGTGGTGGTGGTGGTGTGTGTGGTGTGGTTTTAGGCGGAAAAGGTGTTCGTGTTCGTGTGTGTGTGTGTATTGTTGGTGTGTGGTTGTGTTGTTTTGTGGTTGAGTTTTTTTTTGTTTGTTTGTTGTTTGGAGTTGTTGTTGTTGTGTTTTTTTTGAGGTTTTGGAAATAATGGAAGGATATTCAGTAACAAGTTCATTTCTTTTGGTTTTATACATATATAAATATATTTTTCATAGTTTCGATTCGTAGGCAAGTGTTTTAGTTGTTGTTGTTGTTGTTAGAGCCGATATTTGTGGTTGCATTTTAGCTTTTTGGGTTAGATTTTCGATTGGAGTCTTGCACTCTTAGAATCATTTTTGTTTTTTTGCTTTTGGATTTATTTTTAGTTTTTTTTTTTTCTTCATGCCGATTAGTTTTTCAATTTTCAATTTGCATTTTGGTTTTGGTGGTGGGGTGCACATTTTGAGTACGAGAACACAAGAAATAACACGTAGCACAAACAAACAAAGAGAGAGAGAGAGAGAGAGAGAGAGAACAACGAGAATGCAAGGATTACGGGAAATAAAAAAAAAAAAATTAAACTTAAAAATATTAACGCAAAAATGTTAAGGAGCTCGGGGGGCTTGGACTGTTTTTTGTAGAGAGAAACAGAGAGAGGCTGGCGGGGCTAATTATTTCTATTTACATTTACGATCCAGAAGGGTGACATCTATGGGTGGGATTAGGTGTAAGATCTGTCCCTCAATCAGATAAAAATCGAGATAAAATAACAGAAAAACCAAATGAAAAAAAGAATTGAGAATATCGGTGCAGAGAATTCGGGAACTTTTGTTGAAAGCAAATCTTGAATGTTTTCTTTCGTCTATATACACAGGGCGATTCGAAAGCCTTCAAAATGCGCCTCAATGAATCTTTGCAGCAGCTGCTTGGCAAACAGATCGACAGATCCATAAATCCATAAAACAAAATATATATATTTGAGAGTATTTCAAGAAGAGAGAGAGAGAGAGAAATAAAAACGAGCTTAAAAAACAAAACGAAAAACGGAATGGTTAGAGAAATAACATCAAGATTGGGTTGCTTCAAATTTGGCGTTTTTTTTTTTTTTTTTTTTGCGTGTTAGACGCTATTGCGTATATTTGTGTGTGTCAATATTGTCAAATCAATTCTGGTTATTGGCGAATTATTACAACGTTGTCAGATTTTTTTTTTTTTTGTGAGAATTTCTGCTTGAACTCAATAGAACTCAAAACACTGTACAATGTCTTTGTACACATATTTTAGTTTGAATATTAATTCTAATTATAAGTAAACAAAAATACATTAAAACAAAACGCAAATTCATGTTGCATGCCACGGAAACGAAACGGATACGTAAATGGTAACAGAAGCGAAACAGAACAAAACCTTCGTTTTGGTTCCGCTTTTGGCATTTCGTTTTTTTTTTTCGGTTTGATTTTTCCGTTCATTTGCGACAGTGAACTCAAATTAAAACGTACAATAAATGTAAGTAAAATAGTAAACGTAAAACGAAACGTAAGCGTCAATTAAATCACAATTAAAGTCGATTTAAAATGGATACATTAACATAAAAGCATAGATGCACGCTGTCAAGCAGCAGTAGCATTTTGCTTTGTGGGTTTGTGGGGTGTGGAGCGGGGGGGAAAAACACTCACCTCTAATCTGTCGGAACGTGGTATTTTCTGTTGTTGCACCTGCACCGCCTGCGGCACCACAGGTCCCAGCTGTGAGGCCACAGCCGAGGGATCGGGTCCCAACAAAGTGGGCACCAAATGTCCAGTTGTGTAGTACGGACTGTACGAGTTGGCTGGTATCCCAGTCAAGTATGGATTTGTGGCCTGCAATATTTAAAGATTTGAAGATATTATTTATGAATTTTTCACTTAATCATTAGTGGGCCGCCTTCTACATTTCGTAACCCCTTAACAAAATTCTTCGCATTCACCCCATAAAGTTATAAATCGCCCGCCCCATCAGTAATGGAGACTCATGCATTTTTAATTCCCCTTTCCCCTATCTAATAGCTGCCGTTTAGCTGTGAAATCTACACAAAAACCATGTCTCAAATTATTTGCGAATTAATTTTCGATTTGTTCACCCCTTTCGTCGCTTTGCTATGCTACCCCCAAAAACCATGAATAAAACATTCCTCGTCATCTTCGTCTTTTGCTTCTTCCCCATCCTTATCTTGGAATCAGTTTCGTGCATTTTTGTTGTTGTAGGGGACGACGACGGAATTTCCGTATAAATATTCATATTTTTCAACTCTTCTCAACTCTTTTCTCCCCTCTTGGGATGAGAATTCAATTAAAGTATTAGAAAGGAGCCAAGCACACTTACCACAGCTGGCACTTGGCCGGATATGACCGGCTGGCCGGGCGCAATGCCCATCTGTTGCATCAGTGCATTCTTGAGGGCCAAATGATTGCGTCCATTTATCAATAGCTGATCCTTCAGATGCTGTGGTGGATGAAAATATTTGCACGGCGGTTTCTCACGATTACAGCGGCCCTGCAATAGACAAAAATGGAAAAAAACAAAAAAATTATTTAGCAAATTGTTTGGCCAAAAGCGAACAGAGAGACCCATAAATTTTGGGTTCGCAAAAACTGACAGCCCATGGCGGTGAATTGTGGAGAAAATGTGGGAACCAAAGCCAGCTGTGGGCCATAATTCAGTTTCGATTTGTGGGCAGCAAGGAAGTGCCTTTGTCGCACTAAATAAATAACATGAAACTAATTTATGTTAATGTTTCAATGTGCCACGACTGCTACGGTTGCGTCCGGGATGTTGATTAACACAAATTGTAGTGCTTAACCTTAATTCCATGTGGCCAAACACGGGTAACAGTAAATACAACAACAGTTTTATATAATTTTATTTAAAAGATATTAAAGAGAGGAAAAATCAGGAAAAATGTGCAGTGTAATTCACAATAATAATGACGCAACAATTTTCATACACTTAAAAGTGGTCAACAATTGCTATTAAATAGAAATTACCGACCCACCCCAATGGTGGCCACGTCGATACGTTTCCCCTTTGTCGAATGACTCACTGGGGGGCACTGTTCGTGTTCTCAACACATTTTCGAAGTTCCTGCGTGTCAGCCAATTAACTGCATGCAAATGCGATCACATCACATTCATACCCTTTGGGCTGGAATCTGAAACCCAACAAATTTGGCATCGAATTTTTTGTGTAAATTCATTTTTAATTGCACAAACGTTGAAATTTTACTGCATTTGCACTTGTAATTGCGGGAGGCGTCAGGTGGGGTATAGCCGTTCTCTTTCCTCTGATTTGTAAGCTCAAATGTCAACAATAATTATAATTGACCAAAAGTACGTTGCGAGAGTGAGAGCTAATGCGCCATGATGCATGCAACATGAAGGCATGGGCAGCGAACGGACAAGGACAAACAAACATGCATGTAAATTATATTTAATTCAGACCAAATGAAGTTAACAAATATTTGCGCACACACACACAACGAAGCGAGCCAAAAAATTGGAGCAAAAAAAAACCACACAAATGTATATGTAAAAAGGAAAATTGTGTGGTGTGTGTGTGTGTGTGTGTGTGTGCATAAATTGATTGTTTGCCTTGGCCAGGACCCGGACGAGGATGAGGATGAGGACTGGAACCAGCGGGTACTGTGTGGCATGCCCCAACAACTGGGGCGTTGAGCAAACAGAGATGGGCAAAAGTAACAGCAACAGTAACAGTGGCAGCGACATGCCAACTGGTTTGATTTTATTTTTCTGTTTTGGCTTTTTCTGCCCCCTCAGCCGATGCTTCTGCCATCACCCGCTGCTGCTGCTGCTGTTGATGGCATTTCAAATTTATGACGCAATGAAAGCTGCACAAGATTTATGGAGTTCCCCACAAAACTGACGCTAACTTACAAATAATTGTTGTCGGAACAATTTGCCTTTCGTTTTTATCCTATTTTTTATATATGTATATATTTTTTTTGTTCGCAAATATTTATTTGCATAGACAATGGACAAATGTTTGACAAACTATAAGCACACACTTACCCAATTAATTATGCAATTTATATAATAATATATTTTTGATCTATCGGAAAGTTCTGCCCGCCCCAAATATTTGTGGAGCAAACAAACGAAAAATACTTTGAAATTTTGTGGATTGTGGATTTTTGCATATTTTGATCAATATACAAAATATTTATTGTTGACAAGAGTCAAATATTTTTGCACACCCCTCCTCTCGCTCTCGCTCACACTCACTCTCTGTCGAGCAAACTTTCAATCAGCAACTGTCAGTGGCATGCAACACAGAGGACACATGAATAGGAGCTAGTTTTATTTGTTGTGTGCTTATTGGCGTAATTTAATGCTTCGATTGAGTTTATTTAACAGCCAACAGAAACAGACTGACTGCAATTTTTTTTTTTTGTATCTATATCTGTGCAAGTATCTCTGCAGCTGTCGCTGGCTCTGTCTCGGGCTTTCCCTCTCACTAATTTGCTGGAATGAAATACTAATGTAATTTTTTTACAGCGCACACTTGTTGTCCATCGATTGACTTCAGCAGCAGCAGCAGCAGCAGCAGTCCATGGCAGTCCCTTGAATGTGGGTTAATTGCCTGCTGATTGGGCCATCAAATCATTAGTAGCGAGGTGTTTTTTTGATAAATGAATTATGAGTGTGGGCCAAAGGCAGAACGATAGAGTGTTTGTTTGTTTGTGTGTTGTGTGTGTGGTAAACACCGACTTAAAGGACACTTTGTGTTACAAATTTAAATTGCATTTGCGCGCTCCTGTGCCGCACAATCGAATAAGACATTATTCTTCTTTTGCATATAATGCAATTGCAATGCCCCCGCGTCTGCCTGTGGCAGACATTATCTTTGAATGCCAAGCGTTGTGCTGCCGCACACTCCCCCTCCCCGCTCTATCGTCTTGCCGACCAAGGCTTTGCTGCCCCTAGATACTATGCAACACTTTTCTTTGCGTTGCCCGCCGCTTGACATTGCCACCGCCGCGATTTTCGTCGTTTTTTTTTTGCGCTCTCTCACTTTTCTTTTCTCTCGCTTTTTTTTTTTTGCTCTTGCCACACGCCACACTAAACATTTTCATGTCATTTCGATTGTAATCTGCATGACTGCCTGCGCTCCTTCCTCTGCGTGAAGGGTTGGGAAAAAAAACGGCAGCCCCCAGAGCGAACGACAGAGAGAGGAGGATGAAAAGCGAGTGTGAAAATTGCAAATGGTGTCCACTCACGCACGCAGGGAGAGTGGAGGAGTGGAGGAACAGGAAAGCAGACCGGCAGACAGACAGCATATTTGCATTGGGGACTCTGAAAACTGCAAACTGAAACTGGAACTGAAATCCTGCTCCTTCTTTCCGAGCTGCCTTTGTTCCATAGCCATAGCCATAGCCATAGCCTCCTCCGATGCAGATTATCCGCTTTAAATTGCAATGATTACTTTTCCCCTTTTCACCCGCTATATTTTCCACCATTTTCTTTTTTTTTTTTTTGTGTCGTCGGTGGATGGGATATAGTGATGGCATTTCAGAGCCATTTTTCTTCTCCGGCTATGCGCTCGAAACAATGTCGCCTGTCGTCCACGAATGGTCTGTGGCATGGAGTGAGGGAAATGTCCCATGTCCCATGTCCCACGTCCCACGTCCAACGTCTACGTTCACGTTCATGTCCTTCGCTTTGGCTAAGGAATTTCTCATGTTTTCTGCTGCCAAGTGCAAGTCAAGTCCAGTCATGTATATCGTCGCGTATCGCATTGCCGTTTGGACGACATGCGTCTTGGATTCCTTTGCCTCTTACGCGGCGGAACGGCAGCTGCTGCCAGCATACAGCCAGCAGCCAGCACTGCCAGAAGGAGCACTCAGGACGATGTCCTTTCGCTCTTTCTGGCTGGGTATTAAATGTCATTTTGCATTTCGTGACAAGTTGGCTAATCTGACTCGAAAGTTATTTATTTCTTCTTTGTTGAGTGCAAAAGGAATTTTTCTTACACTTTTTTTTTTTTGTTCCTCGGACCCTAAGAGCATTTACATGGCATTTGCCCCATCCACCTCTTTTTCTTGACTCAATCTTGGCTCGAAGTTTGCTCAGGGCTCTGTTTGCTGGCGTCCTAAGGGGGGCAAAGAGGTGGGTTCACAGGCTGCAGCTACTTTTCTTCAATTTAGCCGCGATACGAATCGTCTTTGAATGTTAATAAAACGGATTTTTATGCAAATTTAAAACTGTTTAGTGGTTCGACTTTGGTATGCATTAAAAGAATCCTGCAGCTAGCAGCGGGAGGTACTTTAGGGGTCCTTCGAGTAGACAAAGAGTTGCTATAATGGGAATGAAATATGTTTTCCAGGGCTTTGCTTTGATGTGGGGGTGTGGGGTTACTTTGGGGCAGGGAAATGGATTTCAAATGATCAGAATTTAATGTTTAAGGCAGTGGGAATAGTTTTTCCCATTTTCCCAGACATGGATTATGTTACGATAATCGAAATCCAAATATCGAATTGCTAAAAAGCGTTTATCAATTTTTAATTGCCAAGTTTAGTTCAAGTCGAAGTGGTTTTTAGTAGGAAAAATTTACATATAAGCTGCTATAATATTTATAGCAAGTTTTTATGGCAGCTGTTGCGATACTTTCTTTTTCTTTTGCAGCAAACTGTCGATCAAATCAGAATAAAAAATCTGAATTTCAATATAAGCTGCTATAATATTTATAGCAAGTCTTTATATAGCAACTATTGCAAACTTTCTTTTTGTATTAAACTTTCGACCAAATCAGAATTTAATGGGGATAAAAACCATATTTTGTAAGATCTTCAGTATTCGGTTTTTCTCCACTTGCTAAAAATTCCATGCGACAACTGTGCAGAAAATCCCTTCAGTGGGCACTGTGTGGTTGTGTGTTTGTGTTTGTGTTGATGCCACTGCAATCAAGTGAGTAAAAATTATGATAAGCCACTTTGCAGCACATCCTACCCCCCCGCACCCTGCCCATCACATGCCCACCCGTGTCCCTATCATCGGAGGAAACTCCATTTAAGGCTTTACATAAAACATAAGCACAAAATGTTGTTGTTGAACAAAAAAGTTGTTGCCCAAGCATAATTCCTCAGCCGCCCACCCACCCCAGGCCAGTCCCAACGACCACCACTTTTGGGGCGGGCAGTCTTAAACAAGTCCGTTGCCAAAAAAAGAAAATTGTAATACAAACTAACGGCAGTACAAGCTTTAGCACTTTAGATTCCACACACACACACACACACACACAGACACAGATAGACAGGGACAGGCAGGGACATGCATATGATGCAGAAAGAGATGGCAAAGCGAGAGAGAGAGACAGCGACAAGATGCAGAGCTGAAAACTATTTTCAACGCTTAGCCGAGAACTCAATTTGTTTTCACTTGGCCCATCCATGACACACAGATACACCACTACATACTACCACAGCGAAAGCTCAATAGCACAAACAATGCATAGAGATAATCAAAAAGCAATTGCAGACC